GAAGGGCGCTGGGCCACCCCGGAGCCCCATATCAAATAGGCCCCAAAAGTTCCATCACAACCACGGTTTGTTCTGCTAAAAAAGCCACGGTTTGCTGCTAAAATCTGAATTGAAACAGATTACCCTGCATGGTATGATTTAGGGATATGTTTGTAACGTTATCCCCCTCCGTTCCAAAATAATTTATAGATATGCGGTTATTTATTTTGAGATAGAGAGAATATATCTACACTTTTTATGTTAAACTTTACTCGTTTGGCACGGTGTCGATCCTGCCTGGCTTTTTGTAGCTCTTATTGTGGAGCCATGCCACGGTGCACTTGAAAACGGCTCCTTGCCGTAAGCTCATAGGAGCTGAAGCCACAAAATATAGTTTCTTCCTGCTCCTTTTCACAAACTTGGCACAAATCATAAACAAAACTATCACTTGAGCTCTTTTTATCAAAAAAAATTCAAAATGGCTTCAGCTCCACAAAAGAGTCGAACACCTTTTAGGGCTCCTTTGGAACACGGGATGGGGAAAACAAGGGATAGAAAAACAAAGAAATATGATAGGATTTGAGTTGAATAACAGAGGATTGAAAACCATAGAAAACTAGAGTTTATTGTTTGGTTGGGCATAGGAAATTCATATGAATGGAAACATCTAATCCCCTCATGTTTAGTTTAATCAACTCTGGTTGTTCCATCCATCATTTCCGTGCGTGCATCGGGAGTACCAGGTGCTCGTACGTTTCCGTCGAGAGTAGGCAGGCTAGCTTTCTCTCTCCCACATGCATCATTGCCGTGCGGAGTACCAGCTGCTCCAGCAGTCCAGCTATTCTTCTCTGCATAATCTCTGTGTTTGCCTCGGTCCTACGTAAAAAAGAGCTCCAAGTGCATGTTTGTTTTCCTCGGTCTCCTAGAAACCCATGATAAAGGATTCTTTCCTCCAAATTCCCTGCAGCTCAATCCTACCAACCAAAGAAGGCTATGGTGACAATTCCTATACGAACCAGAATCCTACATTTTTCCTATAAAATTCCTTTGATCCAAAGGAGCCCTAGGAAGGAATTGAAGCCCTGCTAAACTAGCCCTCAATATATGATTAATAATTTAATCACCATATTTTAGGTCCTGTTTGGATTGTAGGAATTTTGAAGGAAAATTATAGGAATGAGAAAACAGAGCAAACCTGAGCGTTTGGAACGGAGGAAATTTGCTTCCCTCTTTTTTGGATTTCTGTAGCTAGATGCCGATTTCGAGCTTGTTTGGATTGGAGGAACCTTGGACGAATTTTGGTCTACCGTTCCTCTAGAAAGGAAGTGAATTCAAAATTCCCTTCCGGAGGAAAGGGTGCGAGCCGTGTGCATTTTGGAGGAAAAAAAGCATCCACCTGAAATCGATGGAAATCTGGCGATTGGCGTGCCCTCTCTATCTCTCATTATGTGGCTGCTCTCGCTTGCCTGTTTCTCTCTCCTCTCTCTCCATTCCTCATCTCGCATGGTAGAGTTACTCGACGGATTAAGGGCGTGCTTGGTTGTCAGCTAAAAGGACGCCACTGCCACCACCTAAGCTGCGGCGTCAGTTTTGGCCATCACACCCGCCACACTCACCACACTCAGACCCGTTGGTTTCGCTGAAAAAACAAGCCGAAATACTGTTTTGGCTGATTTATCGTGAGAGAAAAATACTATTCTGACTAAAAAAATAAGCTGAAAAGTACGGATTATAAGAAAAGCGAACAGGACCTCAAAAAGAACTGTGAAAAACTATCGCTCTGTTCGTTTATCTTATGAGCTATAGTTTTTTAGTCAACAAATAGTATTTTTCTCTCACAATAAATTAGCAATAGTACTTTCAACCATGGCTTATCAGCTAAGCGAACAAGACATATGGCTACCGCAGTCAAATCACCAACCAAACACTATACTTTTTCTGTGGCGCTGCCTAACGTTCGGCGTGACATCTCGTGGCGTGAAACCAAACAGCCCGATATAATATATAATATGCCAAACAACCTCGAAGCTCCTAAACGGTAACTAATTTATTGTTTAGAGACATGCGATGATCTTTTCATATTTCTGCAATCCAAACAGCTCAAAGTCATAATTCCTGTATTTTGGAATCCTATAGTTTCCACTTTTCGCTCTATCTTATTTTTGTGTTTTCTTTTATTCCTCTTATTTGCATTTCTTCGTTCCAAACGGGTCCTTCGCAGGAAAGAAAACATCCACCATGACCTTTTCTTTTCCTTTGCCATTGCCGAGGCAATGAGCGCCCGCTGTCTTTCGTGGTGGGTGCCATCAGAACGTAATATCCTAGCAACCTGACAGCGGACTGCATTAGCACAGAAATGGAGGAAGAGGAAAGGACCAAAGTGGTCAAGTGAACCACAGCAACCGTAGTAGGAGCAAGGACAAAATCTTGGCACGTGGAGTCGTGGACCGTCCATGATGCTTCAACTTAAAGGAGTTGTGTTTACCGTTATGCTTAGCTTAAGCCATTGGGTTTCTAGCTAGACTCATAAATTCCTATGCTAAGCATGTTCTTGTGTCCAAACATCACTTCCTATAGAATTCATGTGTTTTTCCAATCATGTGTTTTCATTCTCTATTCCTTTCCTATTTCTGTATTTTTCTCTATTCCTCTCATTCCTCCGTTCCAAACATGGCCTTAGTCAAAGGGTCGCTAGAAGAGTTGCAAGAACCAAACAAAAACCTAAGAAATTATGAAAAATATGTACTTTCTCCGTTTCAAATTATAAGACGTTTTGACTTTTCTAGATACATTGTTTTTGCTATGCATCTAGATATAGTGCATATCTAGATACACAATAAAAGCTATGCATGTAAAAAAGTTAAAACATTTTATAATTTGAAATGGATGGAGTAGTACCTAAACCACGGTGTTGCAACGTCAGGTCATAAATCAAAATAGGTGTCATCAACATCAATGCGTAAGGGTTTCCCTATTTGATTGTGGTTGGCAATTTCCCCCCTTGCCGCAATAAGCTATTTTGCACCTTCTCTAGGTGTTGCTTAAATTTATATAATATATATATCCCCACAACACTTTTGAAACATGGTTGCTAGAATATATAATCAAAAGTTGTGACATCGTCAAAATAACATTGACTGTTTAAAAAATAAAGAAAATATCAGAGATAGTGTCTATGTCATGTGCACATAGACAAAGTTATCTTTGCAATGTTACACATGTATTTTGACAATTATATCGGCAACTTAATGGTATCGAGACATTTTGCCAGTAAAAAATGGATCATGCGATTTAGTATATGTTTGATTTGGAGATATTCATACTTGCAGAACTTGTCATTCGAGAGAGCACGTACTTGTTCAATGTTCAATTCAAGGCTGAGAAGGATTGTCTAGTTTATCTATTCTGGAAGTCGAAATCTAATTATTCAACTGGTGATCAATTTGTCCTTATATCTTTATTGCAAAAAAATCGCTATCAACGTGTGCATAGGAATTCGGAGGAAAAAAAAATCAAAAGTCATAGAATAAAATATTCTCAAAGAATTAGCACAAAAAACACAACAAAGTTCGGTATAATTTGCCTAATTCTGTTGAGGAAAACTTCAGTAGTAAAAACGATAATGATCTGGTGAGGGCGTCAATCTGTTCATCCGGACGCCATTTTCTGAGTCCGTGGACCAGCCCGGCCTGCTCCCCCTCACGGTCTATTAAAAAAGCAGAACGGACGCATTTCTCTTCCTCCTTGCCTAATCGCTCGTTGCGCAATTCTTCTCGTTGCCACGGCCGCGATGCCCGCACCGACCGTCGAGCCGACGCTCCCGGTGGCCTTCCTCTGCATCTTGTCCCCGCTCCTCTCCACACCGCTCCCCTGCGACACACTCTCCGCCTCCCCCGCGCCTTCCTTCCACCGTGCCTCCTTCCTCCCGCACCTGCGTGGCGGGCCCTGAGCGCTCTTTGACACCATCTCTCACCATGTTCGCTTGTTGGTTTCAGGCAGGCTTATTCAACCAGCCAACAGTATTTTTCTCTCACAAAAAAACCAACACCAGCCAGTCCAAACTAGCACCAGCACCAACCAGTGAACACGCTGTCTGTCCCGGGCCCCACTTTCCCGCGGTGTCGCAGTTCCATCCTTCTTCTCCACTGTGACCTAGCGGCGGATCCTGCTGTGCAGTGCTCCGCTCGCCCACCCGCCTGCCAGGGTTTGCCGAAAGCGCGTGTTGCAAGTGTATTTCAAGTATTTTAGATGTTTCAGAGACATGTTGCATATGTTGCAATGACTATACACGTATGATGCAAGTGTTTGTTCTAAATGTTTCATCTGTTTTTTCAGACAGATGTTGCAAGTGTGTTTATCTGGATATTACATATGTTTCTCACATAAATTGCAAGTGTTTTATCTGGACGTTGCATATATGTTTTTTATAACGGCTTTTCAAGTATTTTCAGTTTTTTTTGCTAGTGTTCCAGACGCATGGTTCAAGTGTTCCATATGCCTTTGGACGTATATTGCAAATATTGCATCTGAATGTTCCAAAAGTAGATCGGGTGTTGCATATATTACAATAACGTTGGTGGCTAGCAGACAGCGGCCTACCACATAGCTTTGACTCTCTCCTCGATCGGCGTGTCTCGCCCTCTCCTCTCCTCTCCCCTCCCTCCCCTCCATCTCGACGCGACAGTTCGAGCCTTTCCCTCCCCTTTCTTCTCTTCCCTTCCCCTCCATCTCGATGCAACAGTTCGAGCTCGACGAGCGCGATGCCCGCGGATGTGGTGACCCGACGAGCGCGTGGGGGTGGTGGCCCCAGGTGGACCAACGAAGGACCCGATGCTCGTGTGGTGGCCCGCGCTGTCCACTCGCTACAAAATTCATTTTCTTCTCGAAGTTTTCTTACGCCAATATGCCATGGATAATGCACGCGGGAACGGAACAAAGCGTGCAGGGCCTTCACTCCTCCGGTCCTCCCCCTCCAGCTCGTTCCGACGTTCCCCTCCGCGGCTCCGCCCTCAGCCGTGGCCATGGCCACCACCGCCGCCGCCACTTTCGTGCTCCTCCATCCTCCCATCCGGAAACCTGCAATCCCACCGCTGTACATTCTCCCACTTCCCACCCAACCCCACTCCAAAACGCACCCTCGTCCTCTCCCCCTCCCGCGCCGCCGCAGGGGCGGCCCCATCGCCGCCTTCCCCAACGCCACATCTTCGTCCACGAATGCCTCTGCCTCGCCCACCTACGACGTCCGGGAGGCAGAGGCCGCCGTCGCGGAGCTCCTCCGCGAGGGCGGCGCCTCCCCGGCCGATGCCGACGCCATCGCCGCGCGCGCGCCGGCCTACGCCGCTATGCTTGCCGATGGCGTCCGCGAGCTGGACGAGCTCGGCCTCTGGGCTTCGTGGAGCTCCGGTGCCGGGGCCCGGCTGAGCCTCGGCGGGGCCGTCGAGATGGAGATGGGGAGGCTCGGTTTCAGGAGGAAGGTGTACCTCATGGGACGGAGCAAGCGTGACCACGGTGTGGTGCCGCTCCTCGAGAGTTTGGGGGTGCGTCTCTCCTCCGCCAAGCTCATCGCGCCTTACGTCGCGGCTGCGGGCCTCACTGTGCTGATTGATAGGGTGAGAGATGCCCCAGCTTGGGCTCAATTTGCTTGCATTCCGTGCATTTTTTTTAATTGCAGCATTGGTTCCTCTGATGAAATTCAAACTTCGATTCTAGTCCCGTCTAGCCCATAACCTCTTATCGCTTGTATTTGGTTGAACTTGAATAAAGTTTGAGCAATCTAGTATTAAACAGAGAACACTCAAATCCTTAGATTTTTTTTCATCAAATACTGTACTCAGCTGCAGTTGTGTGGGGGGTGGGGGGCTATGGAAATATTCCTATATTTTGCAAATTGGCCTGGTTTAAGGTCCGCCACTGTTCAGCTGCAGGTTTCTATTCCTAAAAAACAAAGTGTTCAAGCATGTGTCATGAGTCACCTCTATTCTCAATAGTACTTCGGTTTCCATACCATGGCACAAAACTAATTAAAGGAATCATTCTAATAGCTAACATTAGAAATTTAGAACACACGCAGTTTTTTGTTAACACTAGTCTATGGAGACATTTTGATAGTGGCCAATATGTTTCTTCAACAGTTGCTGCTGTGCTTGGCACTATAATATGTTCACTATATCACAACACTCATTTCTTATGGAGTTGTGGTTTATTCACATATAGGTTAAGTTTTTGAAGGAAATGTTATTTTCAAGCAGTGATTATGCAGTACTAATTGGAAGGAATGCTAAGCGCATGATGACACACTTATCAATACCTGCAGATGATGCACTCCAAAGTACTTTATCTTTTTTTGAAAAAGTAAGTTCACAGTCCCAATTAGTGTTTCTCATGCCAGTTCATTGCACTGTGTAGCAGCAAAAATAAACATTTTTTCACTTGCAGATGGAGGCTAGGTATGGTGGTGTTAGCGTGTTGGGGCATGGAGATGTGTCATTTCCTTATCTCATTGAATCATTTCCAATGCTTCTTCTCTGCTCAGAAGATAATCATCTCAAGCCATTAGTTGATTTTCTCAAGCACATTGGAATTCCAAAGCCAAAGATTGCATCAGTTCTGCTGCTATTTCCTCCTATCATTCTTTCTGATGTTGAAAATGATATTAAGCCTAGGATTCGTGAATGGGAGAAGGTATTTTTTTCGTGGTAGTTATTGGAACCTGCTAGATTGGTACACTTGACAATAACACAATCATGCTAGTGATCCCATTTCTGAATTTTCTAGGCTGGCATTGAACAAGACTATATTGGTAGGATGTTGTTGAAGTATCCATGGATTCTTTCAACGAGTGTGATAGAGAACTACAGTCAAATGCTGTTATTTTTCAACCGAAAAAAGGTAAGTGAAAAAGAATAATGTTCCTACTATGCTATGCCTCAAGTTCATGTTAATTTGTTTTTCCTGTCTTGCCTTCTTTTCGTTGTTGGGAGTAGTCAACTTTTTTTCCTTTCAGATTTCTAGTACAATCCTTGGTATTGCTGTGAAAAGTTGGCCTCATAATCTTGGCTGCTCTTCAAAAAGAATGAATTCAGCTTTGGAGCTGTTTCATGATCTGGGCATTTGTAAAAAAATGGTGGTTCCAGTCATTACATCAAGTCCACAGTTATTACTGAGAAAACCTGATCAGTTTATGCAGGTGTGTAATGATTATTGAGGTTGCATTTATATATTTAAACTTCATTGGTAATGGATAAACTACTTTTGGTTGCATATAAGTTCTGAAGCAAATTGGAACCAAAGTTGAGCAAAAGGATTATTTTGTTTAGGTTTAGCTACTATCACGTCTTCCATTAAACTGACATGAATTATGGCTCTTATAAATGTACATTGTGTTTTACAGATTCACATATTTTCCCAATCAGAATGTGCTGCTGAACAAATGTTTTTATCTTGCTGTCTGTCTGTAACTGCATCCACAGTAGGCTTATTTATATAAGGGATTATATATCCTGAGTTGGGGTCTTGGGGATGTCATGTGTCTTGACCCTTGAGTTGTATCTCCATTACATCTTTGACCCTCCAGTTACTGATATCTTAATACTAACTTTTGTGCCTCGTGTTTCAGAATGTTTTGTTTTTCAGAGAAATGGGTGTTGATAAGAAAACAACAGGAAAGATTTTGTGTCGTTCGCCTGAAATATTTGCTTCAAATTTGGATAACACCCTCAAGAAGAAAATCGACTTTCTTACCAACTTTGGTGTTTCTAAACATCATCTTCCTCGCATCATTAGGAAGTATCCAGAACTTTTATTGTTGGACATAAATCATACATTGCTCCCCAGGTATGACTGCAACTTGGTGTGATATAAAATACAGTACAAGGAGAGATTTGGTTTTACAAAACTTTTTGCCATGTTCTACTTAACTTTTCTTCAAGCTGCAAACTTTTGGTGCACTTATTGCTAATTTTGTTGGTTCCCTACAACCTATATTGATGGCTGCACCTTTTGGAGATACGTTTTGCAATATTGGAAGTATCTGTAGTCATTGTAGTCAATGGCATATTCCATTTGCATTGTCTGTTTCTTACTCGTGGTACTTAATTTCTAATTCAACCATTTATTGACATATGTTTTGTCCTGAAGACTAACATGTGGTTTTCACTAGTTAAGTATGGAGTATATCGACAAAATCCTGTCATAAGTGTTTGATGCACTTAACTTTATTCCAATGTTTACAGGATGAACTACCTATTGGAGGTGGGTTTGTCTAAGAAAGATCTGTGCTCAATGATCTTTAGATTTTCCCCACTTCTAGGTTACAGTATTGAGCTTGTTATGAAACCAAAGCTTGAGTTTCTGCTAAGAACCATGAAGAAGCCACTTAAAGCAGTTGTAGAATACCCAAGGTACTTCAGTTATTCACTCAAGGGGAAGATCAAACCCCGGTTTTGCGTACTGCAGAGTAGAAACATAGACTGCACTCTGACGGAGATGTTTGCAAAGAACGATGAACTCTTTGCTGAAGAGTACTTGGGACTTGGAGGATTGCTCGAGAAACCTCTACAATCAAGCATAGGTGGTTAATTTCTGGATTTATAAGATCAAACCATGCAGTGTGCTATGCCAAAGCTGTACAGCTTTATGCTTGGATTGGTGAGGCTGTTTTCAGATGGGAGGCACTTTTCCAATGCTTAGTATTAAGAAGGTAATACTTGTTCTCATGAAAGTCACCTAACAAAAGTTACAGGTACAAATATAGATTGATGAGTGATGTTGTTAACTCAATACCAAAATAGCAAAGCATTGGGTTTTGAGAATACTTCTTCATTCAAGGTTTTGAAGAGCTTGGTTTTCTCCATGCAAAGTCTTTCAATCTCAGTTGTATGTTAATTTTGTTGTCATATTGTTCTTACAGGTTTAAGAAGAAATTACAAAGAGTTGGTTTCCAACTAGGAACAGAGAGAAGGATGCCCCACACCTTTGTGTGAATGCGTGCAGGAACCGATGCAAGCTGTAGTAAGCCGAGGAAGTATACGTCAGACAACCCAAGTCTGGCATCATCTCTTTCTCATGGAACTGAAGCCTGTCCCTGGCCCCCAGTCCAGCATCGTCGCCAATCAGAGCTGAGGGCAGCCTGAGCCCAGCTAGTCCAATGGCCCCGTTCGCTTCGCTGAAAAAACAAACCGAAAGACTGTTCCGGCTGATTTGTTGTGAGAGAAAAACACTGTTCCGGCTGAAAAAACAAGCTGAAAAAGACGGATTATAAGAGAAGCGAAATGGACCGGAGCAGGGGTCAAGGACTCACGGTTCTGCATTTCATATTTTCACCAAATGCCAATGGTTCGTGCTGCTTCCTTGGCATATTCAACTGCCCTTTCGTGTGGTATAGAAGACAAAGGCCCCATGGCCTAATCCCTCATGGTAAAGATTGCCAATTTTGCTTGAGATTGCCTACTGTGGTAGTTTGGACAGTGATTATGTATACCAGTTGAATACTTGCTGTGCAATCGATTATGTAGCCTATGATTATAACTTATGAGTGATCGAATGATTTGTATTGTCCGGGTGAAATAAATCTGATGAATGCTTCAAGGAAAACATCAGTATATATGCCGTGCTTTCTTTTCATATGATGATCACCTTTCTAATGGGAAGAGCAGAGGGGTGATCTGCAACACAGTTTAGAGCACATTCATCAAAATATAAAAAGCTTTCAATTGAGCCTAGTATGATCTTCAATTGGATCTATATTTCATAAGATACAAAGAGAAAGTGTATGATTTTTATTCCAGGAGCTGGTTATTCCCACTTTCCCAACAACATAAATTACGTAAATGTGGCCCTTAGCCTTAAGCTTGAAACGAAGTCAAGGAACGTAAGATAAGGATAGAAGGAATAAATAACCTGAACAAAGCGACAAATTGAGACTCGAACTCTCAAAGTAACTACTGCTCCATAACGCACACGCGCGCACACTTCTTCCGCTGGGCACTGGGTCTGATAGTCTGATTCCTCCTCTGGTCTCATTCTTCCGCTGCAACTTGTGGAGCACCCAATGTTCAAACAAAACAATGGTCCATTGGATTCATGTTAGCATACATATTTTTGAACAGATTTACTCCTTCTCAGTCGCCTGACGTGAAGCATTTTCATCAGTCAGTGGCTGCCTCCAAAGCTCTCCCTAGCCACACCCCCCCTGCCGCGCGCGCCCCCCTCTCTCTCTCTTTCCCTGGCGGCCACGGCCACCCCACCCCCTTCTTCCCCAACTCTGGCGGGCTTAGAAGAGAAGGGGTTTGGGAAGGCCAGCCAGACGGTGGGGATGGCGGCAGGGCGGTTTAGGGGCGGCGGTGGAGGCGGCCGAGCCAGGTCGGGATGGGGGAGCTCCATGGCCGGAGCTTGCCGCGGAAGAAGGAGGAGGGAGGAGAAGAAGACGGCCACCATGGGCGCGCTAGGGTTCGTTGGACCTTCGCGGCCAGGTGGTGGGCAGCGACGGGGATGAGGACGAGGATGAGGAGGGCGCGGCCGCCGCCGAGGCAAGCGGGGGTGGGGCGCGAGGATGAGGAGGACGAGGAGGAGGCACGAGGACGGGAGGCGGCGGAGGCGAGGACGAGGAGGCGGTTGTCTCTTGTCTTGTGATGTGCAGGTGTTGAGCGTTGAGACGGTCGACAACAATAGAGAAGGTCAAGTGAGTTCGTGCCGATGGGCTAGGAGCGGTGAAGGACGGACGTGGAGGCTTAGACCGAGGGATCGAGGGCCGGAGAATGGACCGTGGATGGCTAACACTTGGCGACTTCGATAAGCAAGTGTACATGCGATGGAGCGTAGACGATGTTGACCAAAGTCAAGACGGTGGCTGACCAAATCAAGGCGGAACACACGAGCACTTGGTAATCAGGCGATCGGGGACGAGAAGTGACAAGCGTCGAGATCATGGAGGAGGCATAGTGGATACACGACTCTAGTTGGGTTTGGCAATTTCAGCCTCAAAACAGTAGGCGACATGATTGTTGGGTTTGGGCCTCAAAACCTAGGGAGGATCTCGGGGTGGCACGTGGAATCATCAGAGAGCTTGCGTCGAGGTGAAGCTTCTTCATGAAGGGGTCGTGGTCGTCAAGTGTTCAGAAAACAACTTGGACTAATTCACCCTAGGGTTAAGTGGTTCATGAAAAATATCTAGAGATATTGGCCTCGTTCTCTTCGCTGAAAAAACAAACCGAAACACTGTTCCGGCTGATTTGTTGTGAGAGAAAAACACTGTTCCGGCTGAAAAAACAAGCTAAAAAGTACAGATTATAAGAGAAGCGAATATGACCATTCTTGAAATGTGTAATGGCCCTATAAATAAGGATAGAGGGTGCCCAAGACAGTCATCTCTCCCACACGTCATTTCCTTAGGCTAGCCAAGTGTTTCATATCTAGAGGAGATTAGAAGTAGAGAGGGCACCTCATGCTCTAGTTTTCCAGATCTAGAGGGAGGATGAAGAGAGAAAGTTAGACCTGATCTTGTATAGAAGATTTTATTGCGACCTAATCAAATTTGTCCTTTGAAATATCGAGTTCATCCTTACACATGGGCATATATCCACTAAGTGATCGAGTTTCTCTCGTATAACAAAAGGATCGCAAAAGAGGAGAGTGCAGGAATCAGATAAGTCACAACACCAAAGCCTACTTCGGATAACCACATCATCATTCCACATAGTAGTCTTGAACTTCGTCCCATTTGTCCTCTCTTACAACGTTTAGTAGTAGATACTTTCAGGTCTAGCAACTTGTTGCGGTTGGAGCATGACTGTATATACCACTCCCTTGGAATCAATAGAGAGCCCAGTAGTTTCCTGGTGACAAATATCCAAAATTATAACATGTTTGGTTCAAGCGTTTTAGCCTGCTATCAGTTTACAGCGGGATTGGATTACATTGTTTAAAGTTTGTTTGGCTAGCATGTGATCAGTTGATGTGGTATTCGATACGAGCCTTTGGAAGAAAGATATCGCCCCTCCCTCAGCGTTAACAACTACAATCTGCACGTCGTGGGCGATGACGGTGGAGCGTCGTGGACGATGACGTTGGTGCCCCCACCACAGACGGTGGGCGTCCAACGGAAAGTTCACGGGCATCAGCTACATCCAGGCTTCGCCATCACTGTTGGTGCGCAAGCAGTAGAGTTTGGTGGCCTAGTCGGCGCCGTCCGTGTGGAGTCCCGCCACTAGGTAGTGACCGTTGGAAGCGGCGATGACATCGATGTTGCTGTGGTGGAGGGCAGCGACATTTGTGATGGCAGGGAGCACGATGCCGTCCATTGTATTACAGAAGAGGACCTAGCGATGATGCCGCGCTGGGGTGGTGGCCTGCGACATCTGCTCTGATGCAGACAACAAAGCGTCCCGTCGGTTCCACCACAGCTATGTAGGTGTCTTCGCACCCCATGGGCAGGAGGCCCTGACGTATCTTTGCGGTAGATCGTAGCAGCGTGTCGTCGAGGTCGAACTTGAGATCGTGGTCTCAAGCCACAGTGGCACAAACCTGCTTGAGATGCCAATCCAGCAGCACCCCAGCGTTATATGTCGTTGATGCCTTTTTCTCCATGGCCTCCGAGGGAGAGAGGCGTGTGAGTGGTTGGTTGGGTTTTGGGGTGACAATAAAGGTAGGTTTAGAGCATCTCCAGCAATACTATTTAAAAATAGGGCCCCTACTTTTCTACTCCCTCCATCATAAGAAATAATATAATTCTAGCAGTGTCATGTTTTAGTACTTAAAATAGAGCTCCTATTTTTCTATTCCCTCAGTCCTAAGAAATAATATAATTCTAGCATAGTATCATATTTTAGTATTTAAAATAAGACCCTACTATTATGATACTACTCATTTTTGTTGTTTTCTCCGGCATAGAATAGTTATGTGGGACCCATATGCCATCCTCTTCCTTCCCTCATCGCCATTGAAAAACTCGACCATCTCAAGCGCGGGGGCAGGAGGAAGCCGGCAGGGAGGAGACGTCTGGGGGGACAGGAGGAGACACACGGGCAAGAGAAGCCGACAGGGAAGAGGCGCGACCTGCCGATGGGGAGGAGACTATGTCAGTTTTTAGATCCCCATTGAGCAAATTCTTGTTGTCGTCAAGTATGCAACTACCCAAGAAAATAAGTGATGCCATATTTGTTTTTGAATATTGTTGACATTTTTTTATTCTAAGTTTGGATATAAATTCAAGGAAAAGTATCATATAGAAATTTACTAATAGAAAATTATTTTTATAACACTTTTTTTCAAATAATTTTTAAGACACGTGTGCTGCATGTGCATGTCTATTAGTATAGAAAAAGATCGCTTGATTTATCTCTTAAATTGTTTGATTTGTTTGGTTATTAGGCATGATTTAACCGACGGCTAAATAAGAAAACTTGTGCACTAAACTAACACAAAAACAATAGCTTTGGTTGTGAAATCCTAGCTTGTATCTAAAGCTAATGTCATAAGTTTAATTTCCTATCTTGACATTAGAACTTTCTTTTTTGCCTTCATTATTGTCTTCTTTTATATTGCTTTCTCGCTTCGAACAAATCAAAAATAAAATCGGAGAACGCACGGGGGAGGGGAAGCACGTGAGAGAAAGAAAAGAAAAAGGCGTGAGAAAAAAAAAGAGAAAATCAAGAAAAAAGACAAAGAGGAAAAAAAAGAGAAATCGAGAAAAAAGAAGAAAAATGATTAAGGAAAAACATATAAGAAAAGGGTGTGTCTCAGGCACAGTCGACAAACAGATGGAATATCCATCAAGCGACGCTGAGAGCCGTTGGCTCCTAATCCAACAAAGCTGAGGTCGTCTTCAACCTCGCCCCCTCCGTCCCGTGCTTCAACCTCGCCCGGTCCTCGCGCGCGCCACACCTAGTCCTCTTCTTCCTCACCGGCGGCCGCGCTTTCCTCCTCGTCCTTGCCCCCGCCACGCCACCGCCCCACCGTGGCAAGCTAGGAGCTCTGGCGAAACCCT